TTTACTAATTTCTTTTCTCAATGATACATTACTTTAAACAGTTCTAGTGTTGACGTTAATTTAGAGAAAAAAATAGGGACTTCAGAATTTTGAGAGAGCCTTCATCAATGATACTTTACAAGATTTTGTAAAGCTATTCTTCTTTAGCTGTCAATTGAAACAAAAAAATAAGCTCACTCATAATCCATTTTCAGTCATTCACAGATTAATAGGAGAGCTTGTGGGGTTGTTTGTTATGTCATCTTTGCTTTTCTTTATTATCTTTTTAGCTTCCTGCCACTGAATCTTTGTATTATTCTTCAGAACCCACACTACTGCCTGACCAGGGGAAAAAAAGAGCTCTGAAACACAAGTATTTCTTTTACTATTTTTTTTTTTTTAAGCAGTTGTCCAAAAAGTGTTGTCGTAGGAAGAGGAGGTCAAAGTAATTAACTTAAAAGGAATTTGTTTATATTTATTAGTTTCAAATATCCATTTACCATGAAGGTGGATCTGTTTAACTTTATACACAAAAAAGGCATTAGAAATGCTACTTCAATAAAGTTGAGTTTGTTTAAAATCTCTAAGAAACTTATATATTGTCCACTTCTACAAAGGAACACAACTTTTTAAAATTAGATAATAACTACTCTTCCTCCAAAAAGCCTTCATAATTCACAATCTTAAAATACATTTCTACAGCAGGTACTTTGTCATGATGAGTGCATTGGAGCAGCCTCCTTGGAAGATAAACAGTGGAAGATAAACAAAATGTTGGGCTTCGGTTATAGCACAGCCTTCCAAGAGAAATAAAGTGACTAGTTAATCCTTAGAGTACTGGAATTTGCTGTACTGTTAGCCAAACGAGTGTGTACATATGTTCAAATCTTGAATCTCTGGTCTGAGGAAAGAGCAGAAGGAAGATAAATGAAGGACCACTGACTGACCTTGTCCAGAGGGTGTTAAGCATTGTAGGGACCATTCCTATTCTTGAATGTGTGTGTCATGGGAGATGGGAGTGAGGTAGGGAAGAAAACAGATAAGGTTAGCATCACCTTTTTTTGACAGTTGAAGCTAAGTAGACAGTCTCTAAAAGTCTTTTTTCTGACAATTTCTAAAGCTTCCATGATAAAAATCACACTGGGTACCTCTGCCTTGGGTGAGGTTTCAGGTAGTTTGATTCTGAAGATTTTTTTTGCTGATGGTGATGCCATCTTTTTAGTTTGAAGATTCAACTAAGCTTTACTACAACTCACTTGGTCTATTTGTCTCTCTACTATGTACAAGCAGCTGTGTGTGTATTTTTTTTTTTAAAGCAATCTCTCAGGATATTGGAAAACACCTGGTTCATAAACAAATACGTAAAACTTACATTAAATTTCCAATGCAGCATCTGAGGAGAGTGCAAATAAGTACTGTTCTGGGCACAGAAGAATCTAGCTCCCTGAACTCATTCTTGATGATCAGACTTTAATTGAATCAACATCACCATGTCCCCCAATCGCTCATGTCTACAGCAGCCACATTGTCGGCTGCACTGGAACTAGGAAAAAACTCTCTGCACTGATTTGCATAGAAAAATAGGAGCTGAAAGAAGGAAACCAAGAAGTGTAGGTGCAGTTTTCAAGAGACTCATCAATGCTCTTTAGTTCCCAGAATAACTGTTTCCTACTCTTGGCAAGTCAACCTTTGGGGCAATGTGTGATTTCTCTTTCTGGGCCAATAAATAGTGAAGGTCAATTCTATCATGTAGGATAGGGGTCAGGAATAAAGGAGAAGAAAAATGGCTTTCTGTATTAGTACTAGTTAGGGGAATTTTACCTTTTCTTTTTAATCCACACACTTGCCTCTGAATAACAATGCTATTTCAAATATTTAATTCAAGACACACGTTAGTGTCAAGTTGCAGTAAAGTACCACTTTTGATTTTTCGGCCCTTAGGAGTGTTATACATTTTTCCTAAAATTTCCCTTGAGATCTGAGCATGTTTCTATTCCTTCTTCATGCCCTTCAGTTTATTTCTTACTACTAGTTCTGGAGTTTGATTTGTGGGTCAAGTTAATTCACAGAGTCAATAGAGATACGCATTTTGAAAACTTACCTTTGAGCAGCTATTTTACCATGTTATTTTTCCTGTACCAACTGACATCCTCTAAAGGAGAGTTATGTTCCTTTAACTTCACAAAACACACTTTGATATTTCAGAAAAATGTATGTTTGACAAATCAAAAGTAACACGAGGCAGAAACATCCTTTGTGAGAACTAAAAGGAGGGACAATAAAGCACAGTTCTTAGTTTCAGAAGACCTTATGTGTATAATTAAAGTCAGATTTCCGAATCATGTAAATGGCTCTGCTGAAATTATATCAACACATGTAGGTAAAAAGGAGAACAACAACAGAAAGTTACATCACATTGTAGTAATTATTTCTTTACTTCCTAAAAGTGCCGTGATAAGACTTTTAAAGGACCTATTCTAAATCACAACAAATCAGAAATAGTTCACTGTTCAATCAACAAATGATTTTTAATATTTATCATTTGCCAGTCAAACTGCTAGGTCTGCTGCTTTTATAAAATACTTTTTTTCTTCTTGTCTATCAAAATGAAGAATTTAAGTTTCAGTGTCTTCAAAATGACATGTAAATAATTTTCTTTTAATTTAGTATATATTTAATAATCATTCTAAGTACTTATATATAATTACTTATAATCTTTTTTTTTTTTTTTTTTTTTTAGACAGAGTCTTGCTCTGTTGCCCAGGCTGGAGTACAGTGGCACAATCTTGGCTCACTACAACCTCTGCCTCCTGGGTTGAAGCAATTCTCCTGCCTCAGCCTCCTGAGTAGCTGGGACTATGGGCATGCTTCTATGTTTCACTATGTTAGCCAGGCTGATCTCAAACTCCTGACCTCCGGCAACCCGCCTGCCTCTGCCTTCTAAAGTGCTGGGATTACAGGTGTGAGCCACTGAGCCCAACCACTTATAAATATTAATTACAGAATGTGATTCCTAAAAATCTTAGTTTGAGTATTTCAGATCAATAAGAAGCAGTCAGCAATTGCATGACTACTCTAAAACATTCTGGATAAGAAATCAAATCTCCCAGCCTGGGCAATATAACAAGACCCCATCTCTACAAAAAATTAACCGGGTGTGGTGGCACATGCCTGTAGTATCAGCTACTCGGGAGATTGAGGTGGGAGGATTGCTTAAGCCTAGGAGTTTGAGGTAACAGTGAGCTATGATCAGCCTGGGTGACAGACTGTATCAAAAAGACCGTGTATCAAAAAGAAAAAAAAAAAAGGAAAAAAGAAAAAGAAAGAAAAGAAAATCTCTTAGAATTGCATTTTAACAACAACATAACGAGGTATATAGTTAAAATTAACAAGACTTGGTCTATATTATCTCTCTTCTCCTACATGCATCTTTAAGTAAGGGCTACCCTCATGCCTTGGTACCAGCTGAATGATGAAGGTGTACAACTCACACTCTAATTCCATACCCAGTAAGCCCCGGACTTTCTGCATGCTCCCATTCCAGTCCACTTCTACCTATTATTTGCCCCTTGGATTATATTCTCATTGCCAGCTCTGATCCAGGCTTTGGTTCTGTTGTTCATACTTGGTTTCTACAACTATGACTCTTCATGCTTTTTCAGACCAACGATTTGGACCCTCCATTTCCTTTCTGAGTTTTGTCTCCTTCTTGCGGAATTCCTAACCTGGTTTTAACATGTCAGGCTCTAGTCCCCAAGCTTTGTGATATCTGGCCAGTGCCCTGGGTGACCCCATTCAGGTTATAGTGCAGGTTGTATTTTATATATTTAAAATGGTGAATGAAATAAGATTCATATTAGCCATGGTATGTGCATTTTTATCTTCAAATGAGAAATCACTTTTCTTATATATTTGTTTAAAACCTATGTTTATTGTTCTGGTAAAATGCTCTATTTATTTATCAGCAAAATGCTAATAAGAGTTATTTGAGATATGAATATAGTTTTGGGGTGTTTTCTACATTTTGACCAATTCAAAAGAATATACTGAAGTCCATAACTATATTTGGTTAAATCATAAATGTATGAATGTATATGAAAGCATTTTAAACAGTATAATTGTTCTGCACAGGTTTGTGGTTATGTTATTAGGCATAGCTGGTAGTCTCAAGAATAGGCAATGCCTTTGCTTAACATTAAATCTATAGCTAAGTCAGATTTATGTAGAAAGTGGTTTTTCACTACAAAAAATTTTATATATTAATATCTCAATTAGGAAATAATTTTATGATTACTTTTACAAAGAATAGTATCAAAATGAGTGATAAAAATGAATATTACTTTCAAACATGCTTACCTTACTTTTTAATTTAATTTTATTTTATTCTTGAGATGGAATGTCTCTCTTGTTGCCCAGGCTGGAGTGCAGTGGTGAGCTCTTGGCTCACTGCAACCTCTGCCTCCTGGGTTCAAGCAATTCTCCTACCTCAGCCCCCCAAGTAGCTGGGATTACAGGGGCCTGCCACCACCATCAGCTGATTTTTGTATTTTTAGTAGAGGTGGGGTTTTGCCATGTTTGCCAGGCTGGTCTCGAACTCCTGACCTCAGGTGATCCACCTGCCTTGGTCTCCCAAAGTGCTGGGATTACAGGCATCAGCCACCAGAGATCACTTGGACTCAGGAAGGGGAACATCACACACTGGGGCCTATTATGGGGAGTGGGGAGGAGGGAAGGATTGCATTGGGAGTTATACCTGATGTAAATGATGAGCTGATGGGTGCTGACGAATTGATGGGTGCAGCACACCAACATGACACAAGTATACATATGTAACAAACCTGCATCTTATGCACATGTACCCTAGAACTTAAAGTATAATAATAATAATAATAAAAAGAAAAGAAAAAAAAAGCAAAAGTGAGGCACAGATGAGATGAGGGGTGCTTATATGAAATCTCTTATGTGAATTTGTTTTAAGGTGACTTATTTGAAACTCTGACTCTCTTCTTTTGACCCCTCAGCCTGAACAATCCATCAGCAACCCATGAGCCAGCAGAACAAAAGATGACAGAACTGGAGCTGGCAGAGCAAGGTATGCAGACAAGTGTGACTTTTATCACCTTTGGCATAACCTGATATGAATCATATTTGTGTCCCTCTGGTTCCGAATTTTATTACCAATGGAAAAACAACAACAAAAAAATGACATCAAATTTAAAATTTAGGTACATCCCAGCTTCTTTGCGTGACATAGAATCATAGAAGTTTAGAGCTAAAATGAACTTTGTTTCTCCGTTGAGTCCCATGTCCTCGGCTGCCTTAGAAAGAAAAAAGATAAGCATAATACTTTCTGACATATGCCAAGTGAAGTACAGCATTAGGCTTTTTATATACACATTCTCTATGCATATATTTTACAATCTTTCAAATTCTTACAATAACCATCAATTTAGGAATCATTATCCCTAACTTATAGTTGAAAACTCTGACATTCAGAGGATTTAGGAAGATTTAAAAATTTTTAAGGGCAGAAGAAGCAGATATTTTTAAAAATTGCCCTGATTGTACCAGATAAAACATTTTCAGGGTATAAATGTAGATATCAGAAAATTAGCTGTGGCTTATTGCATTAGTCTCAGCAAGTCATGATGTCAGCCTGGATTAGAGTCAGTCGAGATGAAGAGAAAGAAATAAAATCAGTAGAAATTTAGAGTATAGAACTGATGGGACTTGGTTATAGATTTGTTGTCGGAGGAGAGGAGAAAGAGACGAAAGAGCCAAATTTGACAACCAGTGTTTGACTTGAAGAACTGGCTGAATGGTGGAGTCATTTGCAAAGATGAAAAATCCTAACAAGAGGATTTGGGAAGTGGAAATGAGGCAGGGAGCAAAGGATGGGGAAGGAGATTGTGAACTGCTGCCATGATACAGGGAGTTTTTCAAATAGGTTTCTTTTTTTTTTTTTTTTGGATTGTAGATCTGAGAATACATATTCTATCAAATGCCCACTCAACCCCTTTTTTCTCCCCTTATCCATGTGACAATCCCAAGGGTTCTTGAGCCTTGAGTTTGAAAATGAAGATGCTAACTGCATTTTCTGGATAACTATAGAGGTTGACATTTATCAACTCACAAGGCTTTGCTGCAGCCAGGCAGGCATAGGCAGAGGTAAACATCCTGCATGACTCAGCAGGATTGGAGTGCAGGTGCACATTCCCATGCTTTATATAATCACAGCTATGTAGACATAGCATAGAGAAGCTCATCACCTGGTTCTCAGCCACTATGGTTTGTAAGGTGTATAAATGTAACACTGACACTGTGAAGGACCTGCTGAATAAAGTCATGTCTTATCTACCTGCTCTCTCTCTCTACTGTTCTAGCTCACTGTGCCCCATCCACCTACTCCCCTCAGACCTCAGCTGGGGCTTGAACCTGCCACATGTGATCCCCTTGGACTTAGCTAGATTTTGGTAGATTGAAAGAAAGCGTATTATTTTCTTTTTTTCTTTTCTTTCTTTTTTTTTTTTTTTTGAGACAGAGTCTTGCTCTGTTGCCCAGGCTGGAATGCAGTGGCACTATCTTGGCTCACTGCAAGCTCCACCCCCCGGGTTTACGCCATTCTCCTGCCTCAGCCTCCCGAGTAGCTGGGACTACAGGTGCCTGCCACCACGTCAGCCTAATTTTTTTTTTTTTTTTTTTTTTTTTTTTTTTTTTTTAGTAGAGATGGGGTTTCACAGTGTTCGCCCAGGATGATCTCGATCTCCTGCCCTTGTGATCTGCCTGCCTCAGCCTCCCAAAATGCTAGGATTACAGGCGTGAGCCACCACTTCAGCTGAAAGAGTATTATTTTAGAAGAATAATGTGCCAACAAGGATATCACCTCCAATTTAAACTGGGATTTTAAATTTTGGTGTGTATTTAAATTAAAGGTGCATCTAAAAGTTCAAAGAGGTGATTTGGGTAGAATAATTTGCATAGTAGGAAAGTGCTAAGAATACAGAAAGGGTGTGGGGTAGAGATGTAGGGATATAAATGGAGCGGGGAAGGCTGTCTCTTTGCTGATGGGTCTTATGGTCTCGGTCTGAACCTAGATGGAGGCAGGGGCTGCAGGAGGACACTGAAGATTCCTTTTTCCAGGCACAGGCACCTATCATGTGGCTTGAGGCCAAAGTGATGAAGCAGGATGCAGGTTAGGGAAGAGGCACCATTTTCACTGTATCTGGAATACTTACAGCCTGGTTCTAGAATGAAAATGGAAATGTGTTGTTTCAGCCAGGGGTTTGCACTTTAGGTTTGCACCCAGGATAGGTGTTGAGTACTATGAGACAGGGAGCTAATGCTTAAGAATCACTCTCAAGTGTCTCTGCTGGCCTCCACAAGGATGCAGGCAGAAGATCTGGGGAGAGGGTGCTTGCCAACTCTGTTCTATATGTTGGGGACTCTGAAATGTATCGTAGGACTCTGCAATTATACACCAGGAGTCATGAAGTTGTAATTCTATGCTGTGTTGTAGTTCTGTTTGTAAGCCACGGGAGTGGGTGAGGCCTGCAGGGTAAATGGGGATCACACTAAAGTAGTATGTTTCAGAACAACTGAGGTAAACGTATTTTAAAATGGCCATGCCTTACCCCCACCTCCAGAGATTCTGATTTAGAAAGCCTAGGGTGGCATACGTAGCCGAGCTGTGTAGTGCCAGAGCTCCATGAGTAGTTCCAATGTATGGCAGATTAAAAAACCACTGCATTTAATTTAAGGATTGAGTCAGAAGTGGAAATGGCTGGCAAAGAAGAAGAAATTTAGATTTTTGGAGGTATTTCCCTTTTAGAGCTTTTGTTTTTATATTCTTGTCTCCTTCTCCCTAGTCACATTCCTATTAAAATAGCTTCCTTTTCCCTACTGTTGGTTTTCTTAATTCCCTCCTGAAACTTTCTCCAAGAGAATTGCAGGAAGATTCAGCCAACCTTAGACTCTTCATACTTGGACTCAGTTGAAAAGAAAAATTAATAATGCAAACATCCTTTTTTTCTTTCATGGCAGAAAATGACTCACAATCTTATTTTGTTTGATCAGCTCAATGCCTAAATAATTGTAGCAGATATTTTTTCTTAGAAACATCCCCTCCCTCTTCCTGTTTTTCTTTCCACAGCTCACTCTACTGTTATTTTTGCTTAAAAATTATCAATGGAGATTTAGACATCAAAGCACCTTCAGCTTTATTTCTCGATCTGGCTCCACAGGCTGCAAAAATAATTCTCTCCAGAATTATAAGCCACAAAATGACCCCTCTTACAAACACACCTTAGTCCATTCCTATATGAAGCACAAAGGGGAAGTATGTCATTCTTTGTAGAATCTATATCTAGAGTATTAAAAATAAAGCTGGGTTAGTAGGTTAATTCTTGTTCAATGATTCTTTTATTTTTCAGTATTGTCGCCATTTTCAATGCAATGGCATACTTGCTTCTTGAAATAAAGCTGGACTACAATATATAACAATTTTTAGTGCAACATTTCAAAGTCCATTCTATTAACTGAGACAACAGAGTCAAATTCATCAGGAATTAAACATATACTGCTCATTTATCCCAGGGATAGGAAAGAACAGATCAGTGTTCAGTTTGAAAGAGCCATAATTCAGCAGTCTTTCTATATTACCTCTCAGAGGAAGGAGCCTGTGTGTCTAAAAGGGAGAAGTAGAGTTTGAAATTACTGGAAAGGAAAGTCTTCAGCCTTGAATGCATAATATGTAAAGTCAGCTGAGAGCCCTGAGAAGACTGGCCCAATCAGCTGCTGGGAGAAGCAGCATAACTCTCTCTGCTGGAGGAGAAACAAATTCTAATCAGATGTGAGTCAGCCATCCCGAGGCTTCTGTTATCATGAGAGAAGGAAGTACTCTTCCTTTCAACTGGAAAACTAGAATGTACCACTTTTTTTTTATTATTAATGCTCCTTCTTTTCTTTTTGTTTGTTTTGTAATAAAAATTTAACTTAAAAGTTGATATACAAACAAAGAAGTGTGTGCAATCTGAATATTTAACATTGATAGATTTATCTATTTTAAAAAATTAAAGAGAATATATTAGAATTTAATGTTTACTGCACACAAGATGAAGCAAACTAAACCCGTTACATTTTTCAAAATTCTTTAACTTATTCAGTTTGGATTTATTGTTTGTAAAGTGAAAAGAAATTCTTTTCTCCAAAATGTTTGTCCTTTACTAACTTTAGAAAATTAGTTTCACTATTCCAAGTTCAGCTTTTATTCAGAATTAAAATGTATAGTATGTGTCTATTATTACTGTAAGTCCTTCTCAGGCTTTTGGCACAAGATCCAGTGTATTATTATAGATGGGTTCTCAGATGAAAAAAATAAGAATTTTCTCAAGTTTTTAGGACTATTTCGTATAAAAACAAAAACTATATGAGATTAATTGATATTACCTTTTTGATGGACTCACTTGAAAAGAAGTGACAAGGGTGCAATTTCAGGGTTTATGGAAGGCCAATGTGGGCTAGGTGTACATTTCTATTTTGAAATCTATTGTCTTTGTAGTACCCAGGAATATGTGGTAGAGGTGAAATGGAGATATCACCTTAAGAAACAGAAAAAGAAAGAATAAAAAGAAACACTGTTTCTGTGTATTAACTAAAAATGCAAATTTATTCCATTTTTTCAATGGGAGTCATGTGGTTTGACACATCAAATGGCACATAATAGTGGTAACACCAAAGGGAGGCTTAGGCACCTCTTTTAGTACCCTGCCTCTTCCTACAGCCTCCACAGATTTCACAATATTTTCCATCAGACAATTGTATTTCTATAATTATATAGAAAATTATCTTTTTTAAAACATTTACCTATTTTCCAGTGATCTGTGATGCATTAGTCTAATTAAAAACAAATTAGACCGTTCCTGAACTTTCCGCCCTCTACTTTCTTCTGCCACTACATTTCTCCGCTTGCAGACATAGAGATTCCAGCAAATACTTAGTGGAATGAGAGCATAAATTTGAGTGTTATTGTCTTGAATAAAGCCAAAGAATAGTGTGATGTATTATAAACCTCCATACTTTCATGCAAACAAACTC